TTTTTTTTTTTTTTTTAAACAGACATGGACTTTCATTTTTTAGGTAAACTCTACACCCATGTGGGTCTTGAACTCACAACCACGAGATCAAGAGTCACACGCTCTACTGTCTGAGCCAGGCAGGTGCCCCTCAATCAGCACTTGACTAAACAATTTGGGCTTTTAACTGTTTCTCTCAAGTTCAGCAGCTGATTACATTCTCTCAGCCTTTGTGGAATAGGTAGAGCCCTAGAATGATAGGACTTGAGTCAGTGTGAGCACTGAGGCCTCCAGGGGCCCAAGAGGCATCTTGTCCCAAAAGAAGGAAAGAGAATGAGGACAGCTCCTGTCCTGAGGCTTCTTTCCACTACAATGCCAACAATAGTGGAGAATCGTGAATAACTATTTTACAGTGAGCAAGCTGTTGGAGTGAACTTTACAGATCATGAACAATCAGGGTGTCCAGCCTGGCCTGGCCCCTGGTGTTTGACCAAGAGTTGTCTGTCTGCAGGCCTACGTTTGGGACAATAACAAGGATCTGGTGGAGTGGCTGGAGAAACAGCTGACCGAGGAAGATGGCGTTCGCTCAGTAATCGAGGAAAACATCAAATATATCAGCAGAGACTATGTTCTCAAGCAGATCCGCAGGTGAGACCCACAGTGGGGGATTTCTGTAGGAGAAATTGGGCTCGCTTCCTTGGAAGGAGCAAAGATTTAAGAACAAATCGTGAGGTGGTGCCTTACAATCTTTGTGGGGTTTTTTTTCTGTTTGAAACCACTGTAGTTGACCCTCCAATAAAAATAGAACCCTGAAACACAATTCTTTCTCAGCTCCTGGTCCCAAGGCACTTAGTAATCTCCGCTAGATGAAGGCTTAGTTCATTGTGCCCAACTATTAGCTCAAAGTGCAGATCTTCTGACTGGATGAATGATTCTGTGAGAAAAGCTGACTCCATGGCAGCATCGTGGGAAACTATCTCCTCCCCTCCTGCAGCCAAGAGTTTTCAGTATTCTCCATCGGATGAGTGGTGGGGACGGCTGGGGACATTTGTAAATGTCAGTGCAGAAGACAAATTTGTACTCAGATGGACCCATTATTTACAGTTTACCCCATTTGCTTTATCACTTGTGAGTGTGCTTGCTTTCCCACAGATACATGTTCCCATATACCTACTAAGGATAAGTTACACAGATCATGGCCCATCATGGCCCTTTACCCTAAATATTAAAGTGTGTATTTGCTAATATGGATATTCTCTTACATAACCACAGTAGGATCAATTTTAGTACATTTAACATTGACAGAAGTTTTGTTTCTTTCTTGAGAGAGCAGAGGAGAGGCAGAGGGAAAAGGAGAGAGAGAATCCCAAGCAGGATCATGCTCAGCACAGAGCCTAATGCGGGGCTCAATCTCATGACCTGAGCCAAAGTCAAGAGTCAGACACTTAACCGACTGAGCCACCCAGGCGCCCCAACATTGATAGAAGCTTATATCTAATCCACCATTTGTAAAACATTGCTCGTTTTGATTTTGTCTGATGTTTTCTCATGATTAGATTCAGGTTATACATTCTCCATATACATGAATATTATATACATGAAGGGGCCTTCACAGGGCACCACCTCTGGAGACATGTCATCTGCCCCTCCTGATGTTAGAATCACCTGGTCAAAATGCTACTCAGTTTCTCCATTGCATAATTACTGATATCCCCCATTGCACCTAATAAGCAATCAGTCTATGAGGAGACACTTGAAGGCCATGCAGATATCCTGTTCTTCAGCAGGATTTCCACCTAGATCTAGCATCCATGGAAGGCTCTTGTCTGATCCAGTCTTTACGGCGAGGTTGCAAAAGGATAACTTCCCAACTCTGTGTCCTCCACCGTACCCATTCCAGTTCTCCTGTAAGCAAAAAGTCGTCTCTCTTCCTCTAGTCATGTATGTATTCATTAGTCTACATCGATCATGAATTTCTATTTTTTTAATAATTTGCAGCTCATTATTACACTCACTTGAATGCCCAAAATGTCCCAGATTTAGCCAGTGGAAGCACCTTTGTGTGGGTTCCACTTTCTTTGTGACATGCCCCCCATTGCTTTTGTTGGGGTGTTTTGTTTTTAAGTAATTCCTTACTTTCTGACATAGCAAAACGTGTCAGGTCCATCTTGTACTTGCCTTGCTGCTGGGGACTTTTTTCATGTAGGAGAACAGATGAGGTGAGGTGGTGGCCGAAGTGTGTGCAGTGGGTTCTGTCAGCATGTTATCAGACGGCTCTTAAGCTTCCCTCATCTAGACGCTGCTGCCTCTCTCTTCTTCACTGTCCCCCATCTTCCTCTTCAGCTTGGTACAGGCCAATCCCGAGGTTGCCATGGACTCCATCGTCCACATGACTCAGCACATCTCACCCACACAGCGAGCAGAGGTCGTGCGGATCCTCTCCACGATGGACTCCCCTTCAACGTAGGAAGAGCTTCCTGCCCGTCCCCGCCCTGCCTCTGGAGAAAAGCTGCCTATTACCGCCGAAGGCACCGGAGACCCAGCCCTGGAATCCAAGTGGCATTTTGCTTCCCCTTGAACGTTTTCAGGTTATGCATGACATACTGGGATATAGTGTCACAGAGCCCCCAGCGGTCACACCCATCCCATTCAGTATTTATTACCTTGTCTGTGACTACAGCCCTCTGTCCCTGCCAGGACCTGAGAAGGCAATGAAGGGTACAAGCCTGTACCATGAGGTCTCACTACACAAAAGCAGGGCTGCTGCTGGCCTGACAGCTCCCTGGTCCCAGTGCAGGGAAATGGGAGGTGTTTCCAGGCGGTCAGCAGCCCTCCCTCACCCCTGGCCCCATGAGCCTGCAGCCACAGGCAGCAGAGGAGGGCTCGGGCAAGGAGGAAGCCTCAAGTCCGTTGTTTTTTTTAACCTCCACCTTCAACCTGGTACGCACTAGGTACAGGAGAGTTCCCAATTTAATCACACCAAGGGACCTGTTTCTTCTTCATGGAGTGTGAAATCTGCAAGCTCCGTGGGAACTCAAAGATGAGGGCAAAACCATGGTCCAAGAAGCAGACCAAGTCAATGCTGGTGATTTAGGGGCCTAAACTGTGGGTTTGATTCTCTTAGAACAAATGGAAGGATGGTTGACCCACTACTACCTTGCGTGTCCCTGCTCACCCAGCTGGTGCACCTGCTGGGAGCCACATAGGCAGTGCAGTAGCCTGAGCAGGGGCCAAAAAGGAGCCTGGGGGAATGGCCCTTTCCGGCGCTGATGGCAAGTAGTTACTCATGCCACAGGGAGGGGGGCCGGATAGTCTCTCTCTTTTAGGACTTACTATTAAGCCTGGAGCTTTGATAGTTATAAAAGGTTACTAGTGCCTACGGAGTCTCTCAGCTCTATTTCCAGGGCAACTCTCCTACTCCCTCTGGGTCTCATCTCTTCCTGGAGTGTCCACAAGCAGCAGGTACAGCTGGTCTCCCCACAGCTGTTGAAAGGATCCCTGGTGAAGTCTCTGCTGTCAGCACCGGGAACTGGCCTTCCCCGGTGTGAGCAGGCTTCCAGGGAACAGAGAATCCACATGACCTTAAGATTATCTACAACTCCATCGTGGTGCTCTGTCTTCCAGGCTCACTGGTCCCTCCCTGGCCGGCAGCAGGGACCTCCTCACCAGTGGTGGAGATAGTTTATTTTCAACAACCCGTTTATTCAAGAAGTAAAGAGTTTACGGATTCCCCCATTGGTGTTCCTAAAGCAAGAGTGGCAGGTGATCAGGGCTGGTATAGCATCTAGTTATTATGGTGCAGCTAATTGCATTTGTCCCTGATGACCAAGGGGGAAATAAATCACTAAGACATTTTAGTGCAGTGGTATGAATACTTTTGTACAAGCTACAGTTTTGAGCCTTAACGCTAGAGTACGCACACAAGAATGAGCCCCGCCTCCCTTCTTTGGGAACCGTGTGTGCAGACGGGCACCACGTAGCTGGATGCATCACTGACCGCCCGCTGGAGCTCGGAGCCTCGGCCATGCTGCCCTGGTGCAAGGTGCGGGCGTTCGGCACCATCAAAGAGGGCAGGAAGAGGTGGGGAACAATGTTCAGTCCAGAAAGAAGCATCCACTACCATTGGTATCGGCTTAAGTAAAAATTGGATTCGTCTTGGACCAGGTGATTCTTTTCCGTAATTAGTAAAAGTCCACATACCTGTAGGTGGTACAAACCCCTCTGCTCGCCCTGGTATTTCTTCAGAGGCAGGGCGGGTCACACTTGTTTCACCTCTCCCCCTTCGCCAGATTATGACACACTAAATGAATACGGTTCCTCTCGAGAAGTCTGTTCGGCCTACTCCCCCCCACCCCCAGAGCGCTTCACTGCAGGTCTTCCCCCGGACAGGGATTTTTCATACAGAGAAGCCAGGAAGAGCCATAGAACATGAGCAATCTGATATTCCCCCAGCCCATTACATACGCAAGGTTACTGAGCTAGGAGGAGTATAAATGATGTATTGACCAAGACTTGCTTGAGCAGAGATTGCCATATTCACTTCGTTCACAAAGCAGCCTTCACTTGTCTCATTGAGAATTCGATGGACACATACCCTGATGAGCAAGGAGCATCAGTCAAATGTATTTGTTGAAATAAACCTCCACATTTGTAGAAGAGTCACTGTTTGTCATTTCAACCCGTGCCCAGCTACCTCATTCGTGTTCCACTGAGCAGGGGGCTTTCAGCAGAGGTAGGGTGAGCCTCTGTCCGTTACAGGGACAGAACAGCATGCATGCATTGCTTCTGCAAAGTGACATCATTCAGAGACTTGGGGGTTTTTCAGATAACACATACCCTTGATGGCCTGGGCAGTTTCAAGGGTGTTCTTAAAAGGAACCTCTTGGTTTGCATGATTTTGTGAGATTTTCTGGGTCAAGTGAATAGTGAACCATTTTCAGAGCTCACCTCAGGCCAGCTTTATGGAAAGGTTATGGATTCTCTTAATTTAGCTGCTTAATGGATTTTGTTTGGGCACAAAAAGGCACTAGGGGCAGGAATCTCATGCTTGTGTGCCTTCAACCCTCTGCCTCAGTTTCTCTCTGTAAATCCATGTGGTTGAAGCAAAGAGCAAACACCAATCCCTAAACATTTGCAAAGAAAGGTAGAAGCCACAAGACAATAGGGAAGGGAAGCACCGGCCTTTGCTGATAATTAAGCTTGGTATGCTGTGTGTCTGTCTCTGGGATGTTTAGCAAAGCAGAGGGTGTTTTTTTTCCCTAAAATAAAATGTTTTGTTTTAAATGTTTTTATATATATTTATTTTATATGTCTATACAATATATTGTAAATATATATCCACTTGAATCACCTTAAGGTAGATGTTCTTAGAGTAATAAGAAGGGAGATGTGAGGGAAAATTACTACTCTTTGCCACCAGCTGCCGCACTCCATGGGCAGGGAGTCCTGTTCGGCATAGAGGCCTTGGACCTTCTTCCCTCCTCCCTAAGCAGGCAGATGAGAAGCAGACCCCAAAATGTGAACTTACTTAAAGCTGTCCCTGCTCTCAGCCCACACCTGGTGGTGGTGCTGGGGAGGGTCAGCAAGACGAATGGGAAAAGATTCTGCTCCTGCCTCCGGGAACTTTCCTTACACATACAGTGCTTTTTTCTGTTGGGGAGTGATATTTCTTTCATTGGTCTTTTTAATAAAAGAAAATTTAAAACCTTCACTAGTATTACCGGGATAATAAGAAAAGCTAGAACAGCAGGCATTCCGAGATCTAGTCCCAGGCCCACCGACATTTCCCCAACTGAAAAACAAGGACACGGTGATGAATACAAGTGCCTAATTACCATCACAGGGAGGACCCCTTCTGTGCTCCTTCCAATGTGCAAGTCTTGGCGAGAAGCCTAGAGAGGAACTGGGCTGGGAGGTGAACTCAAATGCTGGCTCCTTGGCTGAGAACTGCAAGGCCAAAAGCTGAGCCCACCTGATCCATACAGTGAGGCAGAAAGTGGTAAGGGCCACGTGAGTGGTGCAGACAATTAAGGGCCAAAGCCTCCTGGCAAAGAGCAATTTCCAGATAGGAAAGGAAGGCAAGGTGTCTCAAGTCAGAGCACTGACATTTGCAAAGTTCTCAAGGGACACTAGGAACTTTGGAGAGAACACAAGTGGTGTGGGGTGGGATGGACGATGATATCTGGAAAAAAGCAAGCAGGTAACGGATCATGGAGCCTTTTAAGTGCTAGACCCAGGAAGAAGATACATCCTGGAGAGAGTGGGAAACCTTTGGTGGTTTGGGGGCATGGGAAGACTGGGTACAAAAGTTTAGAAAGCAGCCTGAGGGAAAAGACCACCGGGGTGTGTGCCAAGAAATCCAGCTTCAAGCCCAGCTCCATGTGTGTCAGTGAGTTGGGGTCACCTAGGATAGTCAGCCCAGGCCACCCCAGGAGGCCTAGAGATAATAAGCAACTGTCAGCTATTTTCAATACTCCAGAAATCCTGTGTGTGCCTCAGGCAGGCAGCTAAGGCTCACCATGCCACTGTCTTTCTGATGATAGTTTTGCCAACCCAAGTAGTGCTGGCCAGAAGTTCCAGTTCATGATAATAAATAATGGGAACAGGGCATCTTCATAAATGCAGTGTTTGAGTAGGCAAAATCAAAAACAAGATTCCCTGAGGTTGCAGGGGGAAAGGGGGTTGCGTCAGGAGAGGATAATTGTGTCTCAGCTCTGAGAGGACCTGGAACCAGCCAGTGGGCTCTGCCCATTGGGCACCTTAAGGAGGAAATAGACTGGAGCTCAGAGATGGCTGAATGATGGGCCTAATCCCAAACATTCTTATCTACAACTGGTCGGAGTGAGCAAGAAGGATTGGGGGTGAGGAGAGACAGAAAGGACTAAGGACATCCAGACCCTAACTTGGGAAAAAGCTAACAGAACACTCTTGTCCATGCGAACACAGGTGGGTATTTTCAGAGCCATTTAAACGAGCATAGACTTTGGAATAAGCCTGAACTGGGTTCAAATATCTGGTCCTTCATTCCTGTTCTTTGGAAAGTTCCTGCCTCCTTAATCTGTGAAATACGGATAATAAAGAACTCAAAGGGGCTTTTTGAAAAATTACCTTAAGTTAGTTAACACAAATCAAGCGATGGACATTAGTAGCAAATTCTCAATATATGTTAGGGTTCTCTATGCTCTACCCCTTCCTCGTGCTCACAAGATATGGGATCTGTCATCACTCTGGAGTCTCATAAAGCTTTCAGAGAACCATCCGCCTTACCTGAGCAGAAATCTAGGGACTGTCTCCAGACACTAGTTCCATGGACACAATGCAAAAATGTCAATGAGGACTGCTATGCTCTGTCCCCCAAAATTGATGTGTTGAAATCCTAGCCCCCGCCAGTGATATATTAGAAGGTGGGGCTTTTGGGTGGTGCTTAAGTCATAAGGATGAATCCTTCATGAATAGGATTAGTGCCTTAAAGAGGATCCAGACCAATCCCTTCCCTTTTTCATCATATGAGGATACAACATGAAGTCAGGGGCTCCAGGAGAGAGCCCTCACCTGACCATGCTGGCATTCTAATCTCAGACTTCCATTTTGTTGTGGCAGTCCAAATGGACTAAAAAAAAATTGGACCACAAGGGTGCTGCTGTAACAAACCTAAAAATGTGGGAGCAGCTGGATATAGAGGGAAACGGACCTCAACATAATAAAGGACATATAGGACAAGCCCACAGCTAACACCAAACTCAAAATGTAAAGCTGAAAGCTTTTCTTCTAAGATCCAAGATCAGAAAAAAAGATAAGGATGCCCATTCTTGCCACTTCTATTCAACATAGTACTGGAAGTCCTAGCCAGAGCAGTGAGGCAAAAAAGAAAATGCATCTAAATTGGAAAGAAAGAAGTAAACTGGAAAGGAAGAAGTAAAACTCTATTTGCAGATGACATATATATCATGTCAAAGCTAAAATAAACTATATATGTGTAAATATATAAAGATTCAACCAAGAAATTATTAGAATGAGTTCAGTAAAGTTGTAGGATACAAAAATCAATATACAAAAATCAGTTGCATTTCTATACACTAATAACAAACTATTAGAGAAGTTAAGAAAATCCCATTTGTGAGTGAATAAAAAAAAAATACCTAGGAACCAATTTTACCAAGGAGATGAAAGATCCATACACTGAAAACTGTAAGACAGACACTGATGAAAGAAATTAAGAAGACACAAATAAATGAAAAGATACTCTATGTTCATCGACTAGAAGAATCAGTATTGTTAAAATATCCATACTCCCAAAGCAATCTACGGATTCAGTGCAATCCCCATCAAAATACTCTACCAAAATGACATTTTTCATAGAACTAGAACAAATAATTCTAAAATTTGCATGGAACCACAAAAGACCCCAAATAGCCAAAGTAATATTGAAAAAGATGAAGCTAGAGGCATCATACTTCCTGATTTCAAACTATATTACAAAGTTACAGTCATCAAAACATTATGGTATTGACATAAAAACAGACATAGATCAATAGGACAGAATAGAGAGCCCAGAAATAACCCCAGGCATACAAGGCCAATTAGTTTACAACAAAGGAGCCCAGAATATACAAGGGTGAAATGATAGTCTCTTCAATAAATGGTGTTGGGAAAACTGGACAGCCACATGCAAAAGAGTTAAACCAGACCCTTATACCATACCAAAAAATCAACTCAAAATGGATCAGAAACTTGAGTGTAAAACCTGAAACCATAAACTCCTAGAAGAAAACACAGGGGCTAAGTTCCTTGACATCAGTCTTGTTGTACTTCGAATTTTACACCAAAAGCAAAGGCAACAGAAGCAAAAATAAACAAGTGGGACTACATCAAATTAACATGCTTCTGCACAGCAAAGGAAACCATCAACAGAATGAATGAAAAGGCAACCTATGGGAGAAAATATTTGCAAATCATCTGATAAAAGGTTAATATCCTAAATATATAGAGAACTCATAACTCACTAGCAAAATAAATAATCTGATTTTAAAAAAAGAGGAACTGAACATTTTTCCAAAGATGACCAACAAATGGCCAACAAGTACATGAAAAGGTGTTCATCATTCATCATCTGGGAAATGCAAATCAAAACCACAATGAGATATCACCTCACACCAGTCAGAATGGCTAACATCAAAGACAAGAGATAAGTGTTGGGGAGAATGTGAAAAAAAGGAACACTTGTGCACTATTGGTGGGAATGTAAATTGGTGCAGCCACTATGGAAAACAGCATGCAGTTTCCTTAAAAATTTAAAAATAGAACTACCATGTGATCCAGCAATCCCACTTCCAGGTATATAGCCAAAGGAAATGAAAACAATGTTGATGAGATATCTGTACTCCCACATTACAGAATTATTCACAATAGCCACCATATGGAAACAAGCTAAGTGTCCATCAGCAGATGAATGGATAATGAAGATGTGAGATACACACATATATAATGGAATATTATTCAGCTGTGAGAAAGAAGGGAATCCTGACATTTGTGACAACACAGATGGACTTTAAGGACATGATGCTATATGAAATAAGCCAAACAGAGAAAGACAAATACTATATGGTATCACTTGGATGTGGAATCTAAAAAATAATAATAATAATAATCCTCAAACTCA